ACTTTGTTCCGAGGCACCTCTGGGTAGACTCAGACTTCCAACCTTTCAGTTAGCAGCTGAACATGTTAACCATTTGCACCACTCAGGGACTCCTCTAGTTTAAGAGATGTCTCCTAATCTTAGGAGTCAGCTTCAGCCGAATATCTCACAGTATTAGAATCATGAAGTATTTGAAATTTAGCCCAGACACCATTTAGAGGAAGAATGCAGGGCAGTGACATGCCTAAGCTCACATAGTTTGTCAGTGACAGACTTTAGTCTAGAACCCAGGATTCTTGTTTCTCTGCCTAGTGCTGTTTCCTTGTCTCTGACCCTCTCCAGCAGTGCCAGTTGCCAGGCAGATAGCTATGCCCATTCTAGGAGGTTTTCTCCTCCAAGTAGGTGGGCTGCCTCAGCTTCTGTGAGGCCCTGCTGTAGCTATTGGCTGGGTTCTTATGACACTGTGTCCTGATCTTGCCTGCTGTTTGTGTCCTAGACACCTAGCACTTCTCGGAAGTCCCTGGATGCCCCCTCTTGGCCAGGGGTCTACCGCCTGTCCATGTCCTTGATGGAGAGGCTCCTTAAAACCCTACGCTACAACTTCCTGACCGAGGCCCTGGACTTTGTAGGTGTTCACCAGGAGCGGACCTTACAGGTGAGGGGGCTGCCAGGATCATAGGGGTGGAGGTTAGGGTAAAAGGGGGTCTGGGCTACTCAGGAGGGAGCCAGGTGGGTAAAGGAGCTTGGGGCTTACCAGTTGAGGGGTGTGGGTGCCCTCATTTCTAAGGACTGCTGGCTGACAGGCGAGCCAGAGTGCAGCTGAACTGCTGAATGAGGGGGAAGGATCTAGGATCAGCTCAGACAGAAACTCTTAATAGTAATGCAAAGCCACCTGTGGTTGCTGCCACCTCAGCGTTTGCGGGCCCAGGACCTGTCCTCCCTACAAAATAGCAGGAGCAGGTGTGTCAGGTACCTGAACCATCCAGGTCCTTCCCTGCCGTCCTCTCTCCTCCCAGTGCCTGAACGCAGTGAGGACAGTGCAGAGTCTGGCCTGTCTAGAGGAGGCAGACCACACCGTGGGCTTCATTCTGCAGCTCTCCAACTTCATGAAGGAATGGCACTTCCACCTGCCTCAGCTCATGCGAGATGTCCAGGTAGGGGCCTCCAACACAGTTTCTTGGAGGGGTCTGGGAAAATGCTTAGGGACAGGAGGGCGCTGGGCAGTGTGGCTAGTACTGGGGGCACCTCCAATGAATTGGAGGCCGTTTCCTGACACTGGAATTTCTGAGAGAGCACAGGTTTGGGTTTCATGCCACTTAACTCTTGGAGGTAAATTTTTTTCTCCAGAACAAAGGGCAGCTTTGTAGGTTAAGAACTTAGGCTCTAACAGGTAGAGCTTGGTTCAGATCCCTTAGGAGCAGGCCTGAAGCTGGAAATCAGCTGGAGAGGGCATGCAGGGAAGGAACCAGACTGCGGAGTCAGGCAGGCTTCTGTCATTTGCTGGTTGTGTGACCCTGGTTTTTTTTTTTTTTTTTTAATCTTATTTACTTAAGACCTTATAATGTGTCTGGCATTTAGCAAGGTCCCAGGGAAACAATACAGACATGATCCCCATGCCCTAGAGTTTGTAGTCTAGCATACTTCAAACCAAACCTGTTGCTGTCAAGTCACATCCACTCATAGTGACCCTATAGGACAGAGCAGAGCTGCCCCATAGGGTTTCCAAGGAGTGGCTGGTGGGTTTGAGCTGCCAACCTTTTGGTTAGCAGCCGAGCTGTAACTTAGTCACACTTAGTGGTTGTAAATATTTTAAGCTAGAGAATGTTGAAAGGGCCTGTTAGTAGATGCTCAGTAGGTGAGAGGAGAATAATGGTATTACGTAGAGTCCTGTTATGTGGTCTAGTCAGTTGGCTGGGGCTGCTGGCAAGAGAATCTTCCCTCATACTCCCCTGTGGTGTGTCCTAGGTAAACCTAGGTTACTTATGCCAGGCCTGCACCTCCCTCCTGCATAGCCGCAAGATGCTGCAGCACTACCTACAGGTAACTGAGCCCTGCCTCCCATGGTTGCCCTCAACTCCCCACCCCTCGCTTCCTTGTGCCCCACTTTCATTTTGTGACTCTCCCCCAGAACAAAAATGGGGATGTCATCCCCTCGGCTGTTGCCCCCCGAGTCCAGCGGCCGCCCACTGCTGCACCGGCTGCCCCTGCTGCACCAGCTGCCCCTACCTGCTCTGCCTCCTCCAAACAGCCGACTGCAGACACAGAGGCCTCGGAGCAGCGAGCCTTGCGCACAGTCCAGTATGGCCTTCTCAAGATCCTCAGCCGGACTCTGGCGGCCCTGCGCCACTTCACCCCTGATGTGTGTCAGATCCTCCTGGATCAGGTACCAGCTACTACCCCTGTGCACTGCCACCAGCCTCCCAGGAGTGAGCCTTTAAGGCTTTGCTGTGCTGTGCTCTGTCCTTGAGAGCTATCCGGGGTCCTAGCTGACCTCTCTTTTCTTGTCTCCAGTCCCTGGACCTTGCCGAGTACAACTTCCTATTTGCTCTGAGCTTTACCACTCCCACCTTCGACTCCGAGGTGGCCCCCTCCTTCGGCACACTTCTGGCCACAGTGAATGTGGCCCTGAACATGCTTGGAGAGGTAAGTAGGGTGCTGTGAGCCTCTTGCCCTTCAGCCTGACTCTGCCTCCAACCTATTCTTAACCATGACCTTGGCACGTTATCTGAGCCTGTTCCACTTCATAAAATGATTATGATAGAACCTACCTGTTAGAATTATTGTGAGGATTATTGTAGCTGATAAAATTGCTTAGCGGGGACTCGGCAGGTAGGACGTCCTGAATAAATGGGAATACTTACTGTTTTTATCTTAATGGCTGTGATCTTTTGCTTCTCGTTTTCCAGCTGGACAAGAAAAAGGAGCCCCTTAGCCAGGCTGTGGGGCTCGGCACACAGGTGGAAGGGACCAGAACACTAAAGTAAGACCTTTGGGAATTTGGTCTGGGTTGAGGTAGCCATGGGGCAGCCAGGCCGGCTATTCTCTCAGCTGAATGGCCCACCCTGCACCTGCCAGCTTGGTCCTCACAACATTGCCAAAAACCTATCCTTTCTTCCAGGTCCCTCCTGATGTTTACCATGGAAAACTGCTTCTACCTGCTCATCTCCCAGGCAATGCGTTACCTGAGGGACCCAGCTGTTCACCCCCGGGATAAACAACGGATGAAGCAGGAGCTCAGCTCAGAGTTGGTACGGATGGAGGGGGCTGGGCTAACAGCGAAAGAACCCCATGGGTCTGGGATGCTGTGTCAGAGGCACTGGGCCTCATCAAGCTGTTCTTTTTCCTTGTAGAGTACACTGCTCTCCAGCCTCTCGCGCTACTTCCGCCGGGGGGCCCCCAGCTCCCCTGCTACTGGTGTCCTCCCCTCACCTCAGGGCAAGTCCACCTCTCTTTGCAAAGTCAGCCCTGAGAGTCAGGAGCCTCTGATCCAGCTGGTGCAGGCCTTTGTCCGGCACGTGCAAAGATAGGGCAGTGGCGTGCTGCCCCCATACCACTCTCCACCAGCCTGCACAGCAGCCCTGGGTAGAGGAGGTGCTGCCGGCCTGCCTGGCGGGGCCTATCTGCACCTGAGCGCGGCCCCATCACCCTCTCCGCAGAGTAGCCAGACTCCAACCTCCCACCCTTTGGCATTATTTTTGTAACAGATCAAGAGGTTAACAGCAGAGATGGGGAGCAAAGGGTCCCCTGTGTTCAGGCCCTCATGTTAAAAACACCCCAAAGAGGTGAATTCCTTTCCTTCGAGCATTCCCCACAACACTTGACCTCTACCCAGGGGAGAGGCAGGGGACCATTGCCATGCGCAGTTCAGGAGGGAGACTGTGTGCACGGGTTTGAAAACGTTTTCCATGCTCTGTTCTTGAAGTTTTTTTGGTAATACTGTGGTCTATTTATACAAATATTAAAATACTGTTTATAGACAGCTGTGTAATATATGCCTTCAAAGCCTAGGAGCCACTAGCCAGCTCTTAGAACAACAGTCTCTCTTGGCCAGGGGCCTGGGGTGGGGAAGGCAGGATATTTACTGATGGTGGACTCACAAACATCCCTCCATTAGTGCTCCTCAGAGGGAGTGCTTGGTGGGATGTTGTCACCGATTTTCCCTTCTTTGGCCTGCCCCAGGTCCTCTTCCTGCCCCTCCCTCTTCCACTTGACCAGCTGGCTACGCTTTGTAGCCTTTCTTGAAGCTTGGCTCTTTCCTATTTATAGCTCTGTGCCCTTGCCCTCCCTGTCTCCCTCTCTTCAGCAGCTCCAGCAGTGCAACCTACTAGCCTTTGGCCTCATGAGGACCTGTCATAGAATGCTGGGCCCAGCTGAGGACCCTCAAACATAGTTTACAGCCCAAAGCCACCCACTTGAGCTTCTAGAATCAGACTGACTTGCGCTTGAGTCCTTGCTCGGCCACTTGTTAACTGTGGTACCTCGAGGAGGTGACTACCTGATCCATTCTTCCTTGTCTGTGAAATGGGGACACTGCCTACCTCGCAGTGCTGTGAGGTCACCATGAGAACACGGGAACATGTTTGACCCAGTACCCGGCCCACAGAACGCAGTGATAGCCAGCAGTACTTTAGCTTAAACTATCATGTAAATTTATGCATAATTCATTCCGAATTATACATAATTTATATTCATCCCATAATCTGTCCAAATTTAGGAAAGTTTTCTCAGGAAAGAAACGTTTACTGTGCAGCTTCATGTACAGGCAGAGCACTCCCATCTGAGGAGCACTGCTCCAGGCCCTGTGAGAAAGGGAGAGCTGTGAGGGATGCACTTCCTTTAAAGAACTTCTTTTCCCTCTGCCCTAGTGCTTCTGGGAGAGGGGCCCACAGCAGGATATGCTGCTCATTCCTGTACATCGCCCCCACCCAGAAAGGAACTGTGCAGGTGTGAAGTTGTCCTTCCTCTCCCACTCTCAGGCCAGTCCCGTGATGTCAGTGACCTCTGAGAGTAGGCCAGGCAGCTTGCACACAAAGAATGTTTATTATTTGTCATTGGCTAGAAAGCAAGCAGACAGGCAGAAGTAAAAATATCAGTTAAAAAGTGAGTTTGAAGAGGTGAAGGCTGCAGCCACCATACTTGGCTTGAGCTGTAAGGAGTGGGGGAGGGGGAAGGGTAGCACCGGAAAGATGCTGCTCCGGGGCCCAACCCTGCCTCTCCTGCCAATTCTCCCCTCTGGCTCCAGGCTGAGCCAGGAGGGACAGTACACAGTTCCTGAGGACTGCCAGAGACACCTGGCTGCCCTGCTGCTTTCCCCTTTTCTGCTTTTGGCAACTAAAATACAGGTGCTCTCTGCTTGCCAGGGGTGCACCCCAGTGCCTCCTTAGGCCATCTGTGGCTGACTCCCACCATGGGCCTAGGGTCCGAGTGCAGCTGTTGTAGTCAGCCCCCTCCCTCGTTAGCAGAGTAGGGAGGGCTGGGGTGCTCAGGGGATGCAGGCAGGGTTGGAGGCTCCAGAACCATGGGTCAGAAGCAGGGCTGAGTGGGGACAGGGATCATTCAGCTTCTTGAGCTCCCTCACAGCTGGATGACCAGGGGCAAGGACAGGAGGGGGTCAGTCTCCCCACCCTGAGCAGCTGGGTCACCAACAGACAGGTGGCAGGGCTGCACCCAGATTCTCCTGCCCAGGCCAGAACGGGCAGGGGTCTGGGAGGGGGCCTGCTTAGCTGAGCAGTTCCAAGTAGGTGACAGGGACCTTGCCCTTCTTGTTGCCTCGCTCACCAATGAGCCAGTCAGGGTCCATGCCAGGCAGGCTGTAGACAGTGATGAGCTAGAGAAGGAGGGCAGAGAGGGAGGATCAAGGTCTCAGCCAAGCAGAGAAGTGGACCCCAGCCTGAGGGGACAGAGTTGAGATTCCCGATGATACATGGACATCTACATCTCCAGTGACAGGCGGTCACCTCCCAACCCACTCTTCTCAGACACGGCAGATTAGAAAGTACTTCCTCAAATAGAGCTGCTTCTCTTCAGTGTCCTCATTCTCGCTCTACCCCCAGGGCCCTTCAGCAACTGGAAGTCTTTAGGCCTGATTCTCCCAGTTCCAGTTTTCTGACTTCCTAATCCAGCCCTTTTCTGCCACCCCTTGTAGCCCCCAGACCTACCTCATCAGCCAGCAGGGCCAGCTCACTGCTGTCAGCCGCCTCATAGTCGTAGAGCACACGGGCCTTTCTGGTTCCGCTAGCGGGTGGGGCCACCTCCTCCAGGCAGAGAGCAGCCTCCCCTGGAGGCACCAAGCCAGCCACAGAGGGCACCACAGGCATTGTGGCCGCAGAGGTGGTAGGTGAGGTGCTGCTCAGGGGTGGGGAGGCAGGCTCTGTAGTGCCCACGAAAGTGCCTGGAAATCTGGGGAGGAGAGGAGGGACATGTCTCAGCAGCTGGAAGCCATATTCCTGTGAAAGTCAGTCCTGGACATCCCTCCTACCCCACAGAATACCAGCTGGGCCCACTGTCCACTGCCCCAGAGGCAAGGGCCCCTCCCCACTCCAAGAGACCTCACTCTGCTACTTACATGGCTCCCTGGGAACTGGTAGCATGAAGGGAAAAGCAAAGCAAGGTGGGAAAGTGAGACGTCCTGCCCCTTTGTCCCTGCCATCCTCTCCACCCCCAGCATTCTCCTGAGACTGCTTGCAGAACCCCAGGGTACTCAGAGGTCACCAAGCCCAACCACCTCCTTTCATACTGATGAGGTGCCTGGGCTGAGAGAGGGACATGACGGCTCCCATCAGAGTGAGGCTCAGTTGACAGCTTTCTGAGCTCAGGTGAGAGAAGGTTCATGCCTGAAGGAGGTTGGGCTGCCATTTGAATCTGGGAGCAAGGGTTCCCCAGTGTGCTCAGTGGTGCCCGGCCCCAGCGCCCACACCTGCCAAGCTGTTTCTGTAAGTCCAGCATGTGGCGGTAGCACTGCGCATAGTAAGTTGTCTGAGACTCAATGAACTCATGGAGGCAGCGAAGGTGGTTCACCTGTGGGGAAAGAGGCCCAGTGATGACTTCCAGCATCCACCCGTGGGGCTGGGGGTGTCTTCAAAACAGAACCCACTGCTGTCGAGCTGATTCTGACTCATAGCGACCCTGTAAGACAGGGTAGAACTGCCTCATAGGGTTTCCAAAGCATAATCTTTCCAGAAGCAGACTGCCACATCTTTCTCCTGAGGAGTGCCTGGCGTGTTCGAACTGGCGACCGTTGAGATTCGCCACCCCATCCTCTGCTAGACCCTGGCCCAGCATTCCAATCTCTTCTCCCCAGGCCTGCTGCTCCCTTAGAAGACAGGGATACCCTACTCTCCAGGACTTGCTCTGCTGAAGGCAGCACCACCAGCCCCAAGGGCATCTCTGGGTGCTGAGATACACCCTTCAAGACCACAGGGTCAAGCACTGCCTTTCCCATCTTCAGAGATTCAAGTACATTGTTTGAGTGGGGGCATGGAGGATGGCACAAAAAGTGGATGATCAAAGGAGGAATTGGGGTAGAAATTGTTGAATTGGTTTATGTTCTGCTGTATATATTTTCTTTTTTTTTTAATTTTTTAAATTTTTTATTTATTTATTGTACTTCAGGTGAAGGCTTACAGAACAAATAGTTTCTTATGAAACAGTACACATGTTGTTTTATGACATTGGTTAACAACCCCACAACATATTAACCCTCTCACTTCTCAACCTTTTTTTCTTTTTGGTGAAAATACACATTCTGCTGCGTATATTTTCAACAACAAAAAAAATAAGAATACAAAATGTAAAAAACAAGAAGGAATTGGGGGCAGGACTTACATGAGTGCTACTGATTCCCTCTAGCAGGAGGCGGGTCACTTCTGCCTGCCGGTCAAACTCAGTCTGGGCCACTCGGAGCTCCTGCTCAGCCTAGGAAGAGCAGGGCAGTGTGAGAGCGTATGAAAGTGGGACTCACCGCTCCTTGCTTCCCTCCCATCATCCTTCTCCATGGCCCTTAGGCCCACCTGGGAGCAGCTGCTTCTCCTTCATGTGCAGGATTCATTGCCCTCTAAGAATGAAGACTGACATCTGGGGGGCAGAGGTACACTTTCCACCCCTGATTTCAGACCTGAAACCTGGACCGACAGCTCAGGATCCTTATCCCTTGGAGAAGCTACGACCCCACTAGGTCCCCCTTGAGCTGATGGATTCCTGTGACCAGCAGCCACAGCCACAGGCCCCCCTGTGCTTTGCCACGGGCTTTCACACCCGTCCATTTGCTCTTTTGACACCATCACCCATCTGGGTAAAATCCAATTAGCAAATGTCTCCTGAGTGCCTACTGTGTGCTGTCAGGCTCTGTGGATTAAAAGTTTCCCCACAGAGAGAAACAGGCCCAGAGAGGGAACGTGATAACCCCCTACAGTGGTCCAAGTGTGTACAGGCAGAGCTCAGAACTAGAAACCAGACCTGACTCCTATAGCAGCAGGTGTGCCTGGACTGCCATTCCCCACCACCTGCTAGCCCTCCCTCCCCCCAAACCTCCCAACGCTCGCTACTCACCTTGTCCACCTCATCATTCCAAAGCTGCAGAGACCACAACAGGACCGGTCAGCGGGGGAGGGGAGGGGAGGATCGCTCAACTCCAGAGCCCCTGCCCTGCCCCAGCTCCCAGAGACCCCAGCCTCTTCCCACCCCCGCCACCTCCCACCACACCATCCCCACCTCCCAAACCAGGAGCTGAGGCTGGGATGAGGCCTGGTGTGAGCAGAGACTGACCACCACAGTCCAGTCTAACATGCCACATGCAGGGAGAGGGAGAACAGCCAGCTGGGAAGTCCTGCTTGTGTTTCTCCCGAGTCTCACCTACAGTGTAAGCCCCCGTCTCAGGCTGGGGTCTCAAGGGAGACCAAGTGTCCCCCCACCCCACCCTGATACCCTGATACTTGGCTAAAGCTGGTGGGCTGGGAGGCAGGACCATGTGACCCTGGGCCAGTCACTGAACCTTTCTGTTCTTCGGCAGAGAAAGACAGCCTCGTGCCTGAGTCACACTGGGGTTCAGTGGCAAAAGAAAAAAACAGGGCAGTCTCCACCCTCCAGGGTATTTCTCCTCCCACTCGGACCAGGAAGGAGGGCAGGAAGTGTCATCCACAGTCTAAAGAAGAAAAATCCCCCCTCCCCCCACCATGACTTAGGAGACCCATTTCTCCTGCCCACTTCCAGAAATCTATCCTAAGACAATAACCTGAAATACAGAAAGCAAAACAAGGCCAGTCCATGTGGACAGAGCTGTCCACCACAGTGTTGTTTATAAAATCAAAACATGGGATGTGACCTCCATAGTGCTTGGTAAACTATGGTGGTCACCCATGAGGGACAATTATGCAGCTACTGAATGACTGCATGAGTGACATGTGGCAACATGCTTGTGACAGAAATGAAGAAGAACCAAGGGTCTACGGGAGGATCACCATTGGGGAAAATGGAAGAACAGAGAAAGGTAGAAAAGGCACAGCAGTGGTTGCGATAGGCATGACGGGATGGATGTGACTGGCCTATTTTCCAAACCCTAAAGAGTAAATACCAAATATCTCAACAATGCTGTAAAAAAAAAAAGACATTCAAAGTCTTCACAATCCAGCCCCTGACCACTTTCTGTACCCACACCTCCCACCACTGCCCACTCCCTCCCTCTACACTTTCAACTTCAGTCATTCTTGGGCATACCCTCTTTTCAAACCTTTGGGCCTTTGCACAAGCTGTTCCTTCTACCTGCAATGCCTTCCCTCTCCCTGCTCACTCTTAAAACCATCTCCTAGGGTTACCACACCTAGCAGGTGCTCTACAAAGGCAGCTGGTAAACCAGTGGCCATCCTTGTCACCTGGCTTTAGGGGTCTGTGAGCCACCAGAAGGCAGGGCCCAGGCCTCTTCCCCTCTCTATCCCCAGTACCCCCACTGGGCTGGACCCTCAGTAAGTGGTGAATGGAGGTGGGAGCAGGGGGTGGGGACTGGTGCAAGTGGTCACGGTTATGGTGAATGGGGGCAGGCGGATTTTCAGGCCCCCTGGAGACGGGACGACCGCCGTCCTACGTCCACCACACTGTTCAGTGCAGCTGGCTGAGCCTTCTCTTCAGCATTTTGCAGGGAGAAGCAGGTCCAGAACATGGTCACAGGGCATGGGGGACAGACAAGTGGTCAGAGGTAGGGGCTGCTGCTTCCCCTTCGCCCTCTACTGTTGCCCCCCCGCCTTGGGCCTTGCCCATCCAGGTGTGTGGCAGCCCCTGCCTTACCCTCCGGCCCCTGCTTCCTGTGCAGTCAGGGCCAGGTGTGGGAGTGGGATGTGGGGGGAGACGAGGCTGGGGGTGGGATGGGTCGGGGGCGCTTACCGCGGAGGCGCTGGCCGAGAGAATGTAATTACGAGGTCTAGTCTCCTGAAAGTCAGGCACCGTCTGGCAAGGAACAGAGTTCACGGAGGGGGGTCACACTGGGTTGGGGCCAAGGCTGAGGCCAGGAGGCCGCCCCAGAGTCTCCCACAGGGAGATGACAGGAGCCCCCGACCCCAGGGACAGGAGGCTATAGACAAATACACCATGGAAACCCTTCTTCCCAATCGAGCCTCCTGGAGATGAGAGGGGCTTAGAGACTCTCAGTCAAGACAAAGACTAAGACAAATGGCTGGGGAACCCCAAGAGCAGATGCGGCAGTCAGCTTGTGGCTGTTGTCAGCATTCTTGCTCCTGGTGAAGCCATAGGTTGGGTCACGCCCCCCTCCTCCCTTGACCAGTCTCACTCAGACACCCCAGTTAGAGCCACAGTCCCCCAAACAAAGCCTACCCCCACCATAGCTCTCTCCATCCCAGATTCACCACACACCATATCTTTTGCTCCTGCATCAAGGACCAGACCCCTCCCCAACAATGAGGGTAGACAGATGGATGCACGCATGGACAGAGTGACAGGCTTTCAACATTTGCAAAAAGCTGACCCACAGGCTCTAATGCCTGGCATCTTCCCCAAACCAGAGGCTACACGTGGTAGAGGCTCTGGTGGGGAAACCAGCTGCTTGCAAAATGCCCCCAGGATGTGCCCTGGGCCAACCACCGCCCCATGGGCCCAAGGGCGAGATGGGGCAAGTCAAGCAGCAGCACAGCACGTGGGACAGGTATACTCACATCTCCCTCACACTGAGCCAAGTTACCCAAAGCAGAACAGAAAAGAACAAAAACAAAGAGTTAGTGAGTCCACAGCACAGGCGGGAGCAGGCCCCCCAGGCCCCAGTGGAAGGGGACACTAGGCAGACGGATACACACAACTCCACCTTCTGGAAGGAGTCCTGGTATGTGCGTGTGTGTGTTTAGAGGGGTGGGTACAAGGGACAGAAATGCCTGGCTTAAGTCCTTTAGGATGTTGTAGCTGGGGCTGTCTAGCTACCAGCTCTGGAGAAGGTTCCTGGCCTGACCAAAAGGCATGAGACTGTCTTGGCCAACCAACTGGAGAAGAGGTTGTGCCACTCCAGTCACCACGGAAAGGCTACCTTTGCCTGCCAGGTGGAGGAAGCTTGTTCTGGCCAAGTTACTAGAGGAGAGCCTTTCCAGCCCCAAGTGACAGGGAGAGACTGTCATGTCCAGGTGACTTAGAAGAGGTTATCCCAATAGCCATCAGATCACCTGGCCAACCCCAACAAGACTCCAGTGGCTGAGCCCCCTGCCTCCGACCTGGACCCCACACACCTGGATGAGCTGAGAGCCTGTCCATGACTCTTGCAAAAAGCTGCACAGCCCATAGCGGCCCCACTGTGGGAGGGGAACACAAGGAAGGTTTGGGACTGGGGCTCTCATGGGCAGGTGTGAGTCTGGGTGGGGCCAGGCCTTCCTCAGCCAAGAGCCTGGGCAGACATAGGGGGCAGTTTCCCTAGCACACCCTGGACCTGAGGGTCATCTCCTCAGGGTGTGAGGTGGTCTTCAGACCCTTGCACCCCTGAGCAGCCTGACATCCCAGGACTGTGCCCACCCTTGGGGCCAGCTCTCCTAATCCTGAGCCTGGCCCTGGTCGAATCACCCCATGCTCTGTGTCCCGTGGTCCAGCCAGGTGGAACAGGCCTCAGGCAGTGCAGGGGGAACCCAGACAAGCCAGACCCTGCCCAGTCTCATGGGGCTCTTGAAAGAGTCCCTCAGGCATACCCTGGGCAGGTGGGTGGTCCAGCTCCAAGGTTCTCCATGCCATGGCAGGGGAGCCTAGGACAGGGCACCCTGGTCCCAGCGTTCAAGCAGCAGGTAGGGTAGTTAGTAAGGGGGAGCCATGCCTGGGCAGAGCCGGGTACAGAGAGCAGAGCATCCAAGGAGGGTGGGAAGGGGCCATGCGAGAGACTCCAACTGGCTGTCTGGGAAGGCTGTGGAGTACCCTGGGCCCAGGTTGGGGTACCGCTGGTCCACCTACCCCATCAGTGACCGCCCTGGGACCCAAAGCTCTAGGGCCACCAGGGTTCCTTTGCGGGTGGGGGGCAGAGAGGCGTGACCGGAAGCGGCCAGCCCAGCCCATCGTCTCCTAGCCAAGCCACTCCAGGCAGAGAGGGAGGAGAGAGTCATGCCAAACATCAGGTCCCTTCACGACCCTGTGGCTCCAGCCAGAGTCTGGTGGGGCTGCGAGGCCAGCGGGGATACCTACTGTGGCTTTGGCTTCTGCGGCCTTGGCTTTCTTCAGCCGTGCTTTGCAGGCATCCAAGTCCAGACGACGGTTTTGGAGGAGCCGCCTCTCCTTCTGCAGGGTAGGGGGTGGGAACAGTGAGACCCTGGACAGCCCTGGGAGACCTTTGGCTGTGGCAAGACAGCCCACAAGGCCATCTTGTCGAGACAGGGAAACTGAGGCCCAGAGAGAGGAGGACATCCACTCCAGGTTACTCAGTCCACAGAAGCTCAGAGGGTCGAAGGCGAGGGCTGCCATGTTACCAAGAAATTGAGTGGCCCCAGGCCCCTCACCGAAATTGTTTTCCAGTCTCCTTCCAGAAAGTTGCGCAGAGGTGTGAGGAAGTTGATGGAGGCTGTGTGGATAAAGTCTCGCTCGGCGCCTCCCAGGCGTTTTTCAGCTTCTGCCACTTTGATCAGTGTCTTCCCTAAGAAAACAGGGTTGAAGGGTGAGTAGAGGGTCAGGCTCAGGCTGTGCTGATCCCCAGGAAGCAGGGGAGAGCTTAGAAAGACACACTGAAGAGGCCTGGGCAAGGATGCTAAGTGCAGAATGGTTTGCCCAGCAAAAAGTGGAAGCAACCTCCCTATCAACTGAGGACTGACAGATAAACAGTGGGATATCCAAAAAAATGGAATACTATACAGACATTAAAAAAAACAGGTGGGGGTGGGCTTCTGGAATGGCAGAAAAAGGAGCTCAACAAGTCCTCTCCCCCCTAAAGCAGTAATAAAAACTGGACAAAACTGTCAAAAAACCATTTCAGGACTCTGGAAATTGACCAGAGGTAAATAACAAATTAAGAAGTATTTAGTCAAGAAGAACCACTGGACCTTGGTAAACAGAGTAAAATACCTAGGAATAAGTTTAACCAAGGAAGTGAACAATCTTTACACAAAAAACTATAAAACACTGCTGAAAGAAATTAAAGGATATCTAAATAAATGGAAAAAAATTCTGTATTCATGGATTGGTAGACTTAATATTGTTAGGATGTTAATTCTACCTAAAGTCATCTACAGATACAGTTATAACTCCTATTAAAATTTCAACAGTCTCTTTTGCAGAAATGGAAAAGTAGATCCTCAATTCATATGGAACTGCAAGGGACCCTGAACAGCCAAAACAATCTTGAAAAAAAGAAAAGAACAAAGTAGGAGGACTCACATTTCCAATTTCAAAATGTGCCATAAAGCTACAAGAGTAAAAATAGTTAGTGTGGTATGGGTATAAGGATCGACATGTAAACCAATGGAATAGAGTTAAGAATCCAGAAATAAACCCATAGATCTATAGTCAATTTATTTTCAACAAGGGTGCCAAATCCATTCAATGGAGAAAGAACAGTCTCTTCAACAAATGGTGCTAGAACAACTGGATTTCCACATGCAGAAGAATGAAGCTGGACCCATGCCTCACATCACATACAAAAATTAACTCAAAGTGGATCAATGACCTAAATATAAGAGCTAACACCATGAAACTCTTAGAAGAAAACATAGGGGTAGAGCTTTAGGACATTCTTTTAGGCAATGGATTTTTAGATATGACTCCAAAGGCACAACTAACGAGAAAAAAATAGATAAACTGGAATTCATCAAAATTAAAAACTTTTGTGCTTCAGAGAATATTATCAAGACAGTTAAAAGACAGCCTACAGGATGGAAGAAAATATTTAGAAACCATTTACCAGATAAGGGTTTCATATCCAGAATATATAAAGAACTCTTAAAACTCAGCAACAATAAAAACGCAACTACACATAGGACAAAGGATCTGCTTAGATATTTCTCTAAAGAAGATACACAAATGGTTAACAAGCACATGAAAAGATGCTTAAATCTTTTTTTTTCTTCAGTCCTCAGTGAATGCAGAACAAAGCAACAATGGGATAGCACTTCATACCCACTAGGATGGCTATTATTTAAAAAGAAAAAACAAACCAACAGAAAATATCAAGTGTTGGAGAGGATATGGAGAAATTGTAACACTGGCACACTGCTGGTGGGAATGTAAAATGGTGCAGCTTCTGTGGAAAACAGTTTGGCGGTTCCTCAAAAAATTAAACACAGAAATACCATATGACCCGGTAATTCCTAAGTATACACTCAAAAAAATTGAAAGCAACGACTCACACAGACACATGTACATCAGTGTTCATTTCCATACTATTCACAATAGTCAAAAGGTGAAAACAACTCAAATGCCCATCAATAGATGAACGGATAAACAAAATATGGTATATCTACACAATGAAGTATTATTTAGCTAGAAAGCGAAATGAAGTCCTGATACACGTCACCACGTAGATGAACCTTGAAAACATTATGATAAGTAAGATAAGCCAGACACAAAGGATGAATACTCTATGATTCCACTTATATAAAATATCTAGAATAGGTAAGGAAACCCTGGTAGTGTAGCAGTTAAGAGCTACGGCTGCTAACCAAAAGGTCGGTAGTTCAAATCCACCATGTGCTCCTTAGAAACCCTATGGGGCAGTTCTACTCTGTCCTATAGGGTCACTATGAGTTGGAATTGACTCAACAGTAACAGGTTTGGGGTTTTTTTTTTTTTGGTTTTAGAATAGGTAAACCCATCCATCAAGACAAAAGAAGATTTGTGGTTACCATGGAATGGGGGAGGAGGAGATAGGGAGTAAAAAAATAATTATAATGAACAGGACAAAAAACAAAATCAGCAAGGATAAAGAACAATTTGAACAACACTATCAACCAGCCAGACCTAACTGACATTTATATAACACTCCACTCTACAACAACATAATATTTTTCAAGTGCGATATGCTAGGCCATAAAACAAGTCTCCATACATGTTACAGGATTAAAGTATACAAAGTATGCTCTCTGACCATAGTGAAATTAAATTAGAAATCAACAACAGAAGGAAACTTGGAAAATCCACAAATATCTGGAAATTAAACAACATACTCCTGGTGGGAATGCAAAATCACACAGCCACTTTAGAAAACAGTTGGCAGTTTCTTAAAAAGTTGAACATAAATTTATCATATGACTCAGCAATTCCACTCCTAGGCATTTACTCAAGAGAACTGAAAACATATGTCCACAAAAAGACTTGTATGCAAACGTTCCTAGAAAAACAACCCAGATGTCCATCAATTGGTGAATGGACAAAAAAATATGGAAACACCCATTCCTCACTTATCGACATAGTTAGGGTCCAAAGACCAGGTCATTATGTGAAAATCGGTGTCATGCAAAAATGGAGGATGACCACATCAGATCACAAAATGAAGGAAGATATCATTACCTAACTGCCAAATTACATCATTACTTAACTGCCAAACCACTGAGAATCATGGCCCAGCCAAGTGGACACATAACCTTAACCATCACAGCCAGCGTTACTCTTGCCTTGCACCTTGGCATTCATTACTGCCAGATGTACACCGTTAATGTTCAAAACAGTCACATAACTACTGTCGTAATTGCAAAATAGCAGATAACAAGATCGTGGACAAATGAGGAGTAGGCGTATTATCCATACAATGGAATACTATTCAGCAATAAAAAGGAATGAAATCCAGCAGGAGAAAGGTGGGGTGCAGAACTCAAATTCTAGTAAGAAGACCGGACTTAATGGTCTGACTGAGACTGGGGGAACCCCTGGAAAGCATGGCCCCTGGATTCTCTATCAGCCCAGAACTAAAACAATTTCCGAGGCCAACTCTTCAGACAGGGATTGGACTGGACTGTGGGACATAAAGTGGTAGTCGTGAGGAGTGTGCCTCTTAGCTCAAGTAGATACAAGAGACTAAATGGGCAGCTTCTGTCCGGAGGTGAAATGGGAAGGCAGAGAGGGTTAGGAGCTGGTTGAATGGACATGGGGAGTCAGGGGTGGAAAGGAGGAGTGTGCTGTCACAGTATGGGGAGAGCAATTAGGGTCACATAACAATGTATATATAAATTTTTGTATGGGACAAAAATAAAATTAATTAAAGAAAGAATGAAATCCTAAAATATGCTACAACATGGCCAAACCTCAAAAACATTATGTTAAGTGAAAGAAGTCAGATGCAAAAGACTATATATTGCATGATTTCATTTATATGAAATGTTCAGAAAAGGCAAATAAACAGAGATAGAAAACAGATTAGTGGTTACCTAGGGCTGGGAGTGGAGACTGACTGTAAACAAACATGACACAAGGCTTCTTTTTAGGGTGGTGGAAATGCTCTTTAAACTGGATTGTGGAGATGTTTGCACAACTCTGTAAAATTACTAAAAATAATTGAAATATACCATTAAAATAGGTATACTTAATGGTATATAAATGATACCTCAATAAAAACTGTTAAAAACGTGGGGGGAAAAAAAAAGCCTGAGGTGGACTTCTAAGTGCTTTTGTAAACAGGTATCTGCAGTACAAGGCTAATTAAAAAATCAGTTTGCAGAATGGTAAACACAGCATGATCGAATTAAAAAATACACGCAGTGATGACTGTACAACATGGTGAACATAATTGATGTCACTGAATTGTACACATAAAAATGGCTGAAAGGACAAATGTTTTGTTATATATATTTTACCACGATTAAAACACACACACACAAAGCAGAACTAGGTAAGGGAGACTTCCATTTTCACTATTTTCTTCTGCATTGATTGAGGTTTTCAAAATGAGGATAAATTTGGGTATTACTTGTGTAATGAAAAAAACGAAGGAAGGGAGGGAGGGAAAGATAGAGTAAGAAACCATGTCTCCCAAGCCCAGCTGTGGGACCCGGCTCACCGTAGGGAGTGGTGGGCCCCAGCTCACTGGCTGCCTCTGCCATGTACTGAGCCAGTAGCTCCCCGTTGGTGACCCGCGAGGGGACCTTCCTGTCCAGCTTCTCATACAGGAACTCTTCCACACGGGCACCTGTGAGGAGACAGCAATCAAAGCTACAGGGCTCTTCAGTCCAAGCCCAAGGATGAAAGTCACAGGGACAGAAACAGACCCAGATCAGGCCTGATCCATGGAAGCACCCAGCTGATGACTTCTGGAATATTCTCTTGCTTATGCCCACCTCAACCCTGTCAGACTGGCACTATTAACACCTCACTCTACACAAGCTAAGGCACAGAGATACGAAGTATCTGCCCAAGGTCACACAGCTAGGGGTGACAGGACCAAAGTCAAAGCCCGTCCACCGCCTTCCTCATTACAACATGGATGCCTTGGGCATCACACACGTGAACAACTCCCTGCCCTGAGCCCCCAAAAGATCTCCAGGCACTCAGTTAGCCCCATGTCAGGTTTACAGGCAGATATGCATCACAACTCCATTTCACCCTTTTCCTGCAGGTTCTCCTGTAGTTTGGTTCTTCTCACTCCTTGCTTACTGTGTGACTTTGGGCAAGCCCTTTTCCATCTCTGGGCCTTGCTGACTTCTCTAAAATGACTGAGTTTATGTTTTTCCTGTCTCTCCTCCAAAGTGTGTTGTAGTCTCCAGCATTTCTTCAATTCCTTTGTGCAAAACTTAGCAGTTCTTCTGCTCCAGAGACCATCCTGGAGCCCAACACCGAGTCTCTTGTTGACTTTAACTGCGACTTCCAACAACAGCCTTAAGCCCCAGGTTCTAACTAGAATGCAGCCGAGTCCCACCTGCCTGGCCTCAACAGGGCCTGGCCTCCCACAAGCTCCTTCCCCACTTCTCATCCCCTAGGGCTGGCCAGCATTCACTCACTAGGGTTGGGCTGCAGCAGCACCTCTGTCTGCCTCAGGATCTTCTCTGTCCAGTTCCTGGTGCTGTCCGCCCGGGTCAGAAGATTTTCAAAGTGGGCATCGAGCTCAGTCTTCTCAGCCTGGCCGAATTTCTCCTCTGTGAACTGTTGGGGGAGGGCCAATGGGTGGGGAGGGCTCAGAAAGGAAGGGGGGCCTGGACACAGGTAGATGAGGACTGTTCCCTCCGCCTTCTGGCTGGAACCCAGGTCCTAAGGTCAAGAGACTTGCTCTGCTCCTAATCTGCTCTGTGACCTTGATCAAGTTACTACCCTGCTCTGGGCCTCCACTGACTCCTCTGTTTGGGCTGGAGTTTAGGGATCATAGCTTTTTTTAGAAATCTGATGAAAGCTATAGACCCTATCCCCACAGAAATGTACACTCACACAAAATCTGGCATACAATTTAGAGGGGTAAGGAACCCTCAGGAGCCCATCTTTATGGGTCCTTCTAGCCTGACTCGGCAGGAGGACTACGTGGAAAGGACTCGTGGAACAAACGGGCACAGAGTGAGATCTGGGTTTTCAGGAGGCTCCATGGGGAGCTGGGACCCTGCGGGGGAGGAGTGCCAGGGGAGTGAGTGGGAAAAACCCAGGCTCTGGAATCAGAGATTTTTCTTCAAGTCTTAGTTCCACCACAGGCAAGCTGTGTGACCTTGGGCAAGTGGCTTTGTCTCTCTGAGCATTGGTTTCCTGAGCTGAAAAATGGGGATAACAAGTTAGAGCATCTCCCTCCTAGGGTGGTTGGGAGGATGAAGTAAGGAAGATGTGGGTGAGACATTAAGGCTGGGGTCTGGCACGGAATCAGCAGGGAAGTATGTGGGAAGGGAGCATGGCCAAATGACAGGGTACACCGCTAGCCCATTGGAGCAAATTGCTGGGTACACCCAGGGCCCAGAAAGCTTGGCAGCCCTGCCCCAAGGCCAGGGAAGGATCAGGATGCCACACGAATTGCCCCTCAGGGCTGGCAGAAGCCATGTGGGCCAACGAGGAACAACCAGAAACCAGCTCAAAGCCCTGACCACTCTGATTTAGAAGGCCCTTGGACCAATATCCACATTTTTCAAACAGAGACACCAAGGCCTTCTCTAGCCTGGGCAAGGGACTTGCCCAAAGTCACAGCTAAAGAGCAAAAGGGAGAAGGCCTCCCTGAGGGACTGAATTACCGGGCTAAGGGCTGGGGACCACGGTCTCAGCGGGCATCTAGCTCAATTGGCATAACATAGTATGTAAAGAAAATGTTCTACATCCTACTTTGGTGAGTAGCGTATAGGGTCTTAAAAGCTTGTGAACGGCCATTTAAGATACTCCACTGGTCCCACCCCGTCTGGAGTAAGGGAGAATGAAGAAAACCGAAGACACAAGGGAAAGATTAGTCCAAAGGACTAATGGACCACAACTACCACAGCCTCCACCAGACTGAGTCCAGTACAACTAGATGGTGCCTGGCTACCACCACTGACTGCTCTGATAGGGATCACCATAGAGGGTCCTGAACAGAGCTGGAGAAAAATGTAGAAAAAAGTTCTAATTCACAAAAGAAGACTACACTTCCTGGTCTGACAGAGACTGGAGAAACCCTGAGAGTATGGCCCCCGGACACACTTTTAACTCAGTACTGAAGTCACTCCTGAAGTTCACCCTTCAGCCAAAGATTAGACAGGCCCATAAAACAAAATGACACTAAAGGGACACATCAGCCCAGGGGCAAGGACGAGACGGCAGGAGGGGACAGGAAAGCTGGCAACAGGGAACTCAAGGTCGAGAAGGGGAGAGTGTTAACATGTCATGGGGTTGGCAACCAATGTCACAAAACAATATGTGTATTGTTTAATGAGAAATTAATTTGCTCTGTAAACCTTCATCTAAAGTACAATAAAAAAAATTTAAAAAATTTTTTTTAAAAAGGGGCGAAGGCCTGCACAATAAGGTCAGTAGTAATAGCAGATAACATCCATTGTATCTGTGGCCCAGCCTGCGCTAAGTGTTTTACAGCAATGATCTCACTGGCTCCTCCACCAGCCCTCCAAGGCAGGTTGGGTGAAGTTTCCCATTTCACAGGTGATGCTACTGAGGCTAAGCAAGGGGCCAGGACTGTGCTGGAGTCAAGAGTCATTACAACCTGAGGTCTAGAGGTCCCTCCTGAGCTACTGGACAGCAGTGAATAATCCAGAGGCCACCAGGCTGCTCCGGCTGCGAGGAGTGGGAGGCAGACGTCTGACAGTCAGGCTGCTCAGCAGCCATCAATTATGTAGCAGGGCTTGGGTTTCTCACTGCAGGGTTGGGCAGGCCAGGCTGGCAGGGTTCTAGCCTCCAGCTCCCTACCTGGGGACTAGATGCTCCCAGCCCTCCTCCTACTTCCCCCACTTTAGTTGCTTCTGCCTCCTTTTCCACTTCAGGCTCCTCAAGCTGTGGTCTCCCTGAAGAGGGTCTCAGGCCTGCCCATCCCCCTGCTGGGAGCCGGGCCCTGGACAGGACTCATCTCGCTCAGCCCTCTGAGGTGGGTGGCATTAGTCCTATTTTCCAGATGAGGAAACTGAGGATCAGAGAGGTAAAGTCACCTCTCTGGGCCTCAGTGTCCCCCTGGAGAATGGGACAACAGGATCTGTCTCATAGACTATTTAGAAGGTGCTTAGCTCTGTGGCTGGCACACAGTAAGGGTTCAATAGATGTCAGCTGGTACTATCATCATCATCATTATAATTAACAAAATGCCTCCCTCACATCCCTCCTAGGTTCCCAAGAGCTACCTGGGGACCTCCTTACCCCAATGGTACAAGAAGTTCTTCACATTCAACATCTCCAAACCCAGTCCAAAAAACAAACCAAACCCATAGCCATCAAGTCGATTCTGACTCATAGCAACCCTACAGGACAGGGCAGAACTGCCCCCATAGGATTTCCAAGGCTGTAATCTTTATGGAAGAAGATTGTCACATCTTTCTCCCGTGGAGCAGCTGCTAGGTTCGAACCACTAACCTTTCAATTAGTAGTTGAGTGCTTAACCACCACATCACCAGGGCTCCTCAAACCCAGTCCAGCCTGCTCTAAATGTGCACCTCAATACCTCCCCTCCTCATCCCCTCCCACCCTGTTCCTCAAACCCTACAGGTGCGAAGTCCTACCAAGCTCTCCTGACCCCTTGGGAATCCATCCCATGCCCACTGCTGTCTGCCTAGCTCTGATGATGACAATGCCACTGCCTTCCAGTTTTTTTTTTTTTTTTTTTTTTTACTATTACTGCTACCACTGCTATCATTACAATTACTACTAATAGTACTCATACTATCACTTCTCCTGCCCACCCCCACTGGCATGCTACCCATTCTCAAATATGCCTTACGTTTTCTTGTCTCATGGTCCTCATCTGGGCTATGCCCATCACCTGGAATACCCTCCCTGTGCCAACTTCACAAAACCCTCCCTACTTTCAAGACACAGTTCAAGCACACTTCACCTGGAAGGCATTCCAGAATCACCCATGCAAAAGGGATCCTGCCCTCTGGATTCTCATCCCAAAGCCACGGCCTTGTTCCTGCCAGGACTGTGGTGGGGGTGAGGCTCTTAATGTTGTCCCTGGTACATATGAGGGGCCGAGGGCTTACCCAGCATGCCCTGGTGCCTGGCAAGGTGGCATCTGCACAGAGGAGCCGCCCATGTATCGATAATGAAGAACCCTCCTCCAGTCCCTCCTGGCTGGAAGAGGCCTCCCAGCCCAACCCCATTCCCTGGGCCAGCTGGGCTCAGGCAGGTTCTCTGTGTGGCCTTTCCTGCCCAGGTCACATTTCAGGACCCCTCTCCTGTGGCCTGCCATCCCAGCCAAGGGGAAAGGGCCTTGTGCCTTAGAGGCCTATGCCTGCAGAGTCCAAGGCTGCTCCCTGCAAGATGGCGGCAGCAGGGGGTGGGCGTGCAGAGCCAGAGAAAGCCTCTATTTATAAAGCTCCCAGCTCCCTCCTCCATCCTGGGAGGCTGGGGCCTGGGCACTGTCGGCTCCCACTCCAGTATGGGCAACCCTGTGGACCCGCCACCAGCCAGTGAAGCGAAACCACAGGGCCCAACCTCCCTGCCCCTCACCACCACTCCTGGGCTCTTTGGGCAGTGTCAGATTGGGTGCCTGGGCCCCAACAGCAGCAGGAAACCGGCAGATCAGGTTCTTCCCCAAATGTGGCAGATATCGCAGTTGCCATGCCAACACTAGGGTGGATTCCCCACCTGCCAGAAAGACTGGGCCTGTCCAAGGGGCTCTGAAGTCCCACTAGGACTGGGGGCACTGACCAGGCTAGGAGCACCAAGCAGCAAATCCTCACCCACTGGGACACTAAACCTCACAAGGACACTGTGCTTCTAGTAAACATGGCCACATAGGCTTTGGGGAGGGAGGCCTGACAGGGGCTGGGCTCCTCCAGAGAGGGAGGGCCTCCTCAGGAGTGCCAACAACATGGACAAGGACAACAGGACCAGAGCACTGCCAACGAGCCAAGCCCCCGTATCTGCAGGATCTCACTGAACCCCACAGCCACCCTCTAAGGCAGATGCAGTGTTACACCTGAATTACAGATGGGGAGACTGAGGCTCAGAGAAGGGTTGAGACTTGCCCAAGGTCACAGATGTATAAGGGCGCTATTAACCAGACGGATACCAATAATGAGCTTGCTTTTTTAGTGATCATGTACATGCACAGTCCCATGGGATCCTCACATCCATTCTGGCAGGGTAGTATTAGTAAGCCCATTTTTCAGACTGAGAAACTGAGGCCCAAAAAAGGTGAAGCCACTTCCCCCAAGGTCACAGGAGGGAGCAGTCACAACCATATCTGACTCCAGATCATCATGACATTAAGCTGCCTCAGTTTCTCTCCCAGGATCTCAATGGATAGGACTTGCTCCAATCCTGGCAACATCGGCCTGGACAGTTTCCCAAGGAGGGGGCCAAGCCAGGCCCCACCTCTCTCCCTATCCCCAGGCCTGGGGACTAAAAGGAAACAGGCCCCCCAGAAAGCAGAAAGGAAACAACCACAGCCCTACTGGATTCTGGCCTGACTCTCCAAGCGTGTAAAAGGGTCCTGAAGGATCATAGCACCACTAGCCCACTGCACAGGTGTGGAGACTGAGGCTCAGAGAAGGGGCTGTGAGGGGTGCACGAGTCCCTGGGCAGGGACCCAGCCCTCCAAACGCCCTGGCCAAAGCCAGAGTTCTGGCTAGGCGGAGAGACAGGGAGGGAGGAGCAGCCTGCTGCCCTCTCCCCTCCTCAGCGGGGCTCCCACAGGGCCTGGGGCAAAAGCCTGGGCAGGGTGGTAACCTAACTGGTCGAAATGGTGGGCACTGGTCCCTCTTCCCCAGGCAGCTGGGCTTAGTCCCCGTCCCCGGGTCACGCTGAGGGTGCGGCCAGTGTAAACAGGGGCCTCGGGCTCACTCTCTTTTCTGGGCAGCGCAGAAGGAGCGGGGACTCCAGCGGGCGGAGGGTGTTCCCGCTGCGGAGAAGGTGGCAGCTGCATTGGAGGGGTTCTGCCTCAGGGGCGCCCTCTGCGCCGCGCCCGCCCCACATCCGGGCCCCGGGAGCCGGCCGTGAGGGGCCCGGGCGCACGGCCCGGAGAACGGCGCGGCGCCAGGCCTCACCTGCACCGCCCGGGTGAAGAAGATGCCCGCGTCCGACGCCAGCTTCTTCATATTGAAGTCCATGGTGCGCACGCAAGGCCGGCTGCGCTCGCTCGAGCGCAGCCTGGCAGCCCCGCGACCCCTGCTGCCGCCGCCGCCGCCGCCCAACCCGCACCCCGCCCACCTGCTGCCTGAGCTCCAGCCCTCAGCTTGCCCACCCGCTCGCCCGCAACCGCCGAACTAGCCGGAGCGCGCAAGGCGGGGCGCGGCGGCCGCCCGGGGCGGAGCCAGGCGGTAGGCGGCCTGGAGGCGGCCAGCAGGTGCTCGCTGCTGCCCCTTGCGTCCACCCGCCAGTCGGCCCGCCGACCGCAGATGCAGCGGCCAGCCACCCGGCCGCCACCTGGGCTGGCCTCTCCAGCTTCTTCCTCTCCCTTTGTCTATTCGCACCCCGCCCCTCCGCCACCTGTCTGTGGTGCCCGCTGTCTCCCTATTTCTCGGCCTCTTTTTCCCTGGATCTCTCTGGCGTTCCCCGCCCTGGCCCTCTACAGCCTTCCTACTCTTCTGACCCTGACCTTGGTGACACTACTAACAGCTGAGGGCCAGGTGGGGACTCATCCATCCTTCAAGGCTAGGAAGGGAGGATGTGCGGGGAGGAAGCGGGTCCTCGGCCCGTGAGCCTCGCACCTGAGGAGAAGAGAGGAGGCTATGGTCGGGAGGTCAAAGGTTGGGTTTCTGTCAAAATGGAGGGGCTTGGCTGCCCTCGGGGCACAAACATGTACTGTACTGACCTTGAACACAGCTCTTCACAACCCAGACAGGTAGGGGGTGGTCTTAGCCCACAGATAACTCCCTCCCAGGGTGTTTGGGAGGGAATTTCTACCTGTCTCCACCTCTCCCCATCTCTGCCTCTGGGCTTCATCTTTTAACCACGTGGTACCTGAACTGGTACCTTCTCCCTGGCTCTGTCCTTTGGATGGCTGACTTTGGTCATCTCTCTATACTTACCCTGCTTTCTCATCACCTAACCGAGCCTATCTGTGCAGGGGTAAGCCTCAAATCACCCCCAGGGCTTGTTCAAAACCCAGACCCCAGTCTCACCCCTAGGCCCTGGTTCTCTCAGTGCAAGTGGGGCCCAGGCAGGTGGGAGCTTTTGAAAGCACCCAAGTGATTTAACGTGCACCCCAGCTTCAGAATCACTGGTCTGCATTTATTATCTATACGGAGTCACCGTCGACTTTTATGCCACCTGCACAGCTGCAATCCATCAACTCTTTGTTGTTTCTGTGTCTCTATGTGTTTCTATTCATCTGTATTGATCATGGATTTACCTCTCAGTATCTGTCTATAGTTGACCATATCATTCATTTAGCTAGCAACCAGCCATATTTCTTTAAACATCCCATGTCAATATAGTTATATGTTCATTCATTCAATAACTCACGTTGAGCACCTACTATTTGCCAGGCATTGTTCTAGGTGCTGGGGATGAAGCGGTGAACAAAACAAGGTCCCTTCCCTCATGGGCAAACAAATATATAATATACCAAGTGATGAGTTCTGGGAAGAAAAACACAACAGGGTAAAGGAGTGAGTACATGCTAGTTATCACTGATCTTATAGCTCTACCAGTCTATAACTTTCACCTATTTAACTAGCTCTCCACTTGGCTGTGAAGATTTACTAATAGTAATGGCCAAATGTGGGCCTGAGCCCATGCCAGGCCAGCACTGAGCACTTTTAAGTGGGTAATCACCTGAGATGCTCATAACAGCTTAGAAACCACCATCATCTTCATTTTAGGGGTGAGGAAGCTGAGGGTTAGAGGAGTTAAGTGGCCATGGTCACAGGGGAGGAAGTGATGGATCTAGCCTGGGACCCAGGCAGCCCAGCTGTGGAGACCATTCTTCTCCACATCTGGCTCCTCCTTCTTTGGCCTTATCAGCTGCCAATTTCCCCTCTCTCTTGGGTTCCTGCCACCCTGAGTCAAAGATGCCAGGTTCTCTCTTGCCTCTGGGGCACAGCCCATGCTGTTCCTGCTCATCCTTCAGGTCTCTGTTTGGACTTCTTTTCTTTAGGAGCCTTCCTTAATTCCTCATCTCCGCAAGAGGTCCAGCCTAGGTATCTCCTTAGTAACTCCACATCCCCAGGGTCTCCCTGTTAGAGCACCTATCACAAGATAGTAAATACGTGTCTGCTTCTCCGGACACACTATGAACTTCCTGGGACCACCAGTCGTCTTGTCTGCCAGTGTCCAGCTCAGGGGCTGGTGCACAGAAAACATTAGTTTGTTGTTGAATGAATACAGGAATGTGAATGACTTGCTGATAATTATAATTTAAAATCTGAGATGTGGCCAGCTCTTCTGTTAGGAAAGGGCTGCCACATGGTTATCTTTTGATCCCCACCAAAGCCCTTGTGACTCAGGCAAAGCAGGTATTCCATCCCCGTTTTACATCAAGGGAAACTAGAAAACTTCAGAGAGCTGAAGTGGCAGAACTTGAGACCAACTCAGGTATGACTGATTCCAAACTCAGTGTTTGGTGCAAGGCACAGTTGGGTGGTCCGAATTGAATCACACTCCCAACTCTTAGGGAGATAGTGTGTTGTAGGGGAGATAAGGCACTTTTGCAAACAATTCCAAGACAATGTGGAGAGTGGCAAGCGTTTAAGAGGATGCTGCCGGAGCTGAGAGGCGGTGGCATTTGAAAACTGGGCCTTAAAAGGAAGGAAGAATTTGTGCGTGTCGGGGCGGACAGGCGTAAAGCATCCAAAGTTTAAGGCTCACACTGCCAACGTTTCCTTCGAAAGAGCCATTGGTATCCACATGCTATTCCTGATTGCCCCGCCTACGCCCGTTTAAGCGTGGTCCCGTCCTACCCAGCAGCCCGTGTCAATCTAATCCTAATGGCCAATCGTCGGAGAGAAGAGAGCACTTCCGCGCCTCAACCACACTTAGGAGGCGGGGTGAGGACGAGAAAAACTCAAGCCAGATCGGTCACGTGACCCAGCCTATTGGCCCGAGACCCAACCTATTGGCCCGAGGCCGAAGAGGCGCGGAGGGGCCTTGCGACGCTCATTGGCCAGAGAAGTGGGCGGCCCTGTTCGAGGCCACGCCCCGCGGTGGCCCAGAGGTTGGTTGCGCGGGCGCGAAGGAAGGAGACGCTGCCCTTCCACAGCGATGGGAGCTCGGGTGAGTGGTGGTCCCGGGCTATGCCCGCCGGGCGAGCGGGTAGTGCAGCCAGGCCGGGGACTGTGACTTGCAGGGGCTGGACCTGGGCGGGGGTGCAGGTGTCCGGGCCCGACCGAACTGAGAAGATGTCCAGGTTGGTATGAGCAGGTACCCGGGGCGTGGGCGTCGCGAGAGGGTGCCCCTGGGCGGGGGTGGAACGAGAAGGTACCTCGGTCAGTGAGGAGATGCCTCGGCCTGGAATGTTGAGGGGGTTGGCAGTAGGGGCGCATGTACCTGGGCCAGGAAGGTACCCAGGATGGAAGGAGCAGGTGGAGGGCGCCAGAGGGTGCTTGCATTATCCCCAGGGATATTCTGCAGATCGAGGCAAAAGAGGAGATGGCCTGGCCGGGGACTGCGCAAGATGTCCAGTATGGAATGAACAGGTTCTGGAATCGGGGATATTGCTGAGGTCTAGGGCTGGGCTCCAGGGAAGGTGGGGTGGGTGGAGGTGCCCAATGCCCAGTTCAGCAGAGGTGCTCAGACTGGAATGAACAAGAGATTGGGCAGAGGATGGCTCAAGGGGGGCCGGGGACATTGCTGTGGTCAAGGTTCAGAATGAGGAGGTACTCAGGCCAGTCATTATTGGAATCCAGGGCAGAGGAGGAGGTACCCAGGATGGAAAGCATGGATGTCCAGGCTGAAGGTGTTGTAAGTGCTGTGGAGTGCTCGGAGTGAGGAAGTGCCCGCCGAAGGTTCTAGGGCAGGATTAGAAGTGTCCACATGGAGGAGGTCATTGCCCTAGGTTTGTCATCATGGAGAGGAGGTAGGCTGTGGATAGGCTGGACCTGGGTCCAACCCTGGAGTAAAACAGACTTGGGGAGCCAGTGTTATTACCTTGCACTTGCTGCTTTTCTGCTTGGTGGGAGCAGCAGAGACTGCTCTTGACTTTCCTGCAGACAAATGCCAGGCCTCAGTCCCTGCCTCTCAGCCCTGTCTCACTTTGGTGCTCGGGCTCATCTTTGTAGCTCTCTGTGGGCTCCTCACCCGGGGGCATGTGGCATAGTTGAGGGAAGAGTGACAGTTGTAGCAGGCAGGGCAGGGGAAACACTGCTGCAGCCTTGGGATCCCACAGAGCTGAGGTCACACTGCAGCTTGAGCATTTACTCAGTGACCTTGGTCAGGTTGCTCACCTCTCAGCCTCAGTTTCCCCATTGTTAAGACAAACAGTAATTATTATAAGGGTTCTGTGAGTGACTAGACACAAGCCCTTGTGGAGAGCCTGTTCCAAGCCCGGTCCATAGTAAGTACCTGCTGATCCTCTAATGTTCTTGTCCTCCCTCTGCTCTGAGGCCTGGACCAGGCTGGGTGGTGAATGGGGGTTGTTTATAATATTAGCCTGAGCCCTGACCACTGGAGGTCCTGTAGCTCAATCTGCAGCCTCCTGGCAGGATGTCTCCTACCCTTCACAAGATGACAGTTACCTTGGTCCTAGAACAGTACCCCACCCCTCTCCACACACACGCCCCAGCCCTAGAGCTAGACAATAGGATCGTTCCTGCTTCCCACTCACTGGGGATAAGTCACTTCTTGTGCTGGCCCAGTGACTTTGGCTGCCATCCCAGGTAAACAGTGTCTGCCCTGGCCTGTGTGTTCCTTCTGCTTGAGATCCCAGGAGCTGTTGAAGGTACCCTTGGGCTGGGTGGTGGTGGTTGGGGGGCATCCTGCAATGTTTTTGGGACTGGGCTGTGTGTGATCAAGCTACCTATTTCCTGGCCTTAGGATGGGCCATTGGGGTATCCTGGGGGGCGGGGGTGGGTCTCAATAGGCCCCAGGGGAAAGCTGCCCTTGTAGTTCAGGGTTCTGCTGCCCCTTCCTGCTCCGTGTCATGTTTAGCGAAAGAGTTGGGTTGACCACAGAGTCTGTATACCAATAGATCTTGGTTCAAATCCTGACTCCACCATATATCAGCTTTGTGCTCCTGACTTACCCTCTCTGAGTGTCAGTTTCCTCATTGGAAAATGGAGGTGGGTAGTTAGCATCTGCTTCACAGAATTGTAATGATTCAGTGAAATAATGTGTGTAATACAGTCTACAGGAAGATTTTGGCTTTGTAGAAGGTTAAAAAGATGTAATGATTCTCAGTCAGGGGCCTGACCCTGATTTTTGCTTAGCAAAAGGGCCATGGGTTTAAAAAGGTTGAGAAAGTGTGGCATACAGTCCCAAGGTTGAGACTGACCTATCCATCTCCCAGGCCATGGGTCCTCTTCTTGGCCCAGGACCCTAGAGAGCTTCTTTCACTCTCAGGGCTCATGGTGGGCAGAAGGTCTGTGGGGCATTTGGCTGTTTCCCTCCCGGCGGTTGTAGGAGGGCTGGGGCCTGATTCTAGGCCTAATATTCCAGATGTAGGCTCCACTGCCACCTCATCCCCCAGGGCACTCTGTGTGCATTTCTGCACACCCACATGCACAATTCCTTGTGTCTGACTTGGCCATCTGTCCTCCCAGCTCTGTGGAGGGACCCTGTGGTCTATGTGTCCCTGTTCTTCTGGGGTGTGGATAGTGCTTGGGACCCAGCCAGCAGCCAGTTGAAGACATCCTTTTTGGAAGCCGTTGGCCCTGTGGGCTCTTGCCTGGGGTGCTGGTCCTGCCATGGCGTTCCAGAGGACCGAGGGCATGCCCATGATCCAGGCCCTGGCCATGACGGTGGCCGAGATCCCTGTGTTCCTGTACACGACGTTTGGGCAGGTAAGGATCGATCCATGAAACCCTGAGCCACTCAGTCCAGGGGCCCTGCAGCATCTAGGAAAGCTGGGTTCTTGTTATTGCTGTCCTAGCATCTGGTGTCATCTCTTTGAGTGGGGGAAGAAAGACTAGGTCAGGAGTCTGGGGCCCTGAGCCCACTCTTTACCCTAAGACTATGTGAACTCTCCACGTCAGTTTCTTGATCTATAAAAGGGGACAGCAGTGCCTCACCTGCCACACACAAATGTTTGTGGCTGATCAGGCCTCTCGACACTTCCAGGCACTAGGGAAACAGGAATGAGGGATGCAGCCCCACCTGAGTGGCTTCCAATCTACTTGGGCAGAGGGTGAGGCTGGAGCAGTGGGACATGTGCAGATGGAACAGTGGGGTGGAGTGAATGTCATTGTCTTCATGGAGTCATTAAGCAATTGGGATCTGGCAGACCTGGGTTCGATGTCTGTCTCTTACTGTGTCAACCTTGGATATGTGTGTTAGCCTGTGTGAGCCTTAGTTTCCTCATCTGGAAGATGGTAGAGATGCCAAAAGGTAACTCAGGTGAAGTCCTAGTGTGGTACCTGGCATAGTAGGCGCTCAGTCAACGCTGCTGATACAATCATGACTGATGGTGTTAGCGACACCTGGTGGACCCTGGACGCGATCTCCTTGGCATTGTCATTTTGCTGTCTTGAGTGTCCCTTCTTTAGAACTCTCTGGGCTACATTTCAGAGAGGCTAGTCTTGCCCCCTTCTGGAGGTGGCTGCCTCTCAACCATTCACTGGGTGCCTGGGGTGCTCACTGCCCATTAGGTGCTCTGCGGGGCACTCCATCTACCTCGGGACTTTCCTAGGGAGACTAACCTGGCCACCTCCCTCTGTTCCTGCAGTCAGCATTCTCACAGCTGCGGTTGACACCTGGCCTGCGGAAGGTCCTCTTTGCCACAGCCCTAGGGACCCTGACCTTGGCCCTGGCCGCCCACCAGCTGAAGAGACGACGACGGAGGAAGAAGCAGGTCGGCCCCGAGATGGGAGGAGAGCAGATAGGCACGGTGCCCCTCCCCATCCTGATGGCCAGGAAGGTCCCATCGGTGAAGAAAGGTGGGTGGGTATGAGGTGGTGGGGAAGGGCCTGACCTGGGTTCAAATGCCAGCTCGGCAAGTGATTTTCCATCTTCAAGCTGAGTTCCTCCCATCTATGAAGTGGGGATGACAGTGGCATCTCCTTCTTTGAGTCATTGTGAGGATTTGGTGAGTGATGCGCCCAGTCAGTGGAAGCTGTTGTGGTTGTTCTCATTGTCTCCTTCTCACTGACCCCTTTGAGAGTACCTGGGTCCAGAGGGGGCTGGTGGGGCATGGCTCCTCAGTCCAGGGAAGGAGGTCTCCCCAGGTTCAGGAATAGGAAGGGCTGTATGGTTACTGAGCCATATGGTTTTTCTTTTTTTTTTTAATTAAGGTTTAATTTATGTACAGTAAAATTTGCCCTTTTTAGCATATAGTTCTATGAGTTTTGACAGACATACCACCAGTTAAGAACTGTTCCATCACCCTGTAAATTCCCCCATGTCCCTTTTAGTCAGCCCCTCTCCCCTACCCTCAGTCCCTGGCAGCCACTGATTGGTTTTGTGGCTGCTGGTGTGGTCCCCTCTCCCCCTTTTTTTTTTTAATTGATTTTAAAATTGTAAATACAGATGTACAGATAGAGATCGATTGGTTTAGATTTAGATTTTTTTCTGGGGATTTATTCCTAAACATTTGAAAGAACTAAGAAACAGAAAAAAGTGTTATGTAACATACCTACCTTTTTTACTGTCTTTTTTAAATTGATTTTTTATTGTAATATATATATGTATCTAGATACAGCTATCAGTCTCTTCTGGTTTGGCGCAAAGGAGAGGGAAAAACACTAAAGACCCAAGGGAGCAATTAGTCCAAAGGACTAATGGGCTGTGTGAACCACAGCCTAGAGGACCCTGAGACCAGAGGAATTAGATGTTGCCCAGCTACCACTACCTACCGCTCTGACTGGGATTACAATAGAGGGTCCTAGACAGAGTGAGAGAAAAATGTAGAACAAATGATCAAATTCACAAAAAATACCAGACGTACTGGTCTGACGGAGACTGGAGGAACCCCCGAGACTCTGGCCTCCGGAAACTCTTTAACTGAGACTTGAAGCCACTCCCGAAGTTCATCTTTCAGCCAAAGATTAGGCAGGCCCATAAGACAATAACACATGTGAGGAGTGTGCTTCTTAGATCACGCTTAAGTGTAGGAGATTAAATAGGCAACACCTGCCCAGGAACAAAGATGAGAAGGCGGGAGGGGACAGGAGAACTGGAGGAATGGACGTAGTGAACCTGGGGTGGAAAGGGAAAGAGGGAGAGTGTTGACACAACGTGGGATTGCAGCCAATGCTAGGAAACAATTTGTGTACAAATTTTTGAATGAGAAACTAATTTGCTATGTAAACTACCTGAATCACACTTTAAAAAAAAAAAAGGTATATATCTAGAGATGGATTGATGTAGATTTAGATTTTTTTTTAAAGCAGTAACTCCCCACAGTCCCCTGTTAATCATAATCCAGAAACCCAGTGTTTGCTGTGCATGAACACCGTGTGGCTCTCTTTCCAAGGCAAGGCGTTCTCTTAAAGAAACGCTGTTCTAAGAAGCAAAAGTCTCTTTAAAAATGAATTTTAATTGTGAATTATCATTGCAAAATGGAAATTTTATCTTTACAATGGGAAAAATAAGTTTCTAGAGTAGAATAGAAGTACAAACAGCTGCTGAGACGTGTACTGGCCGCTGGAGACCTGGAACCACTGACCTTGAGCCTGTGTACACTATGCCACGGCCACCGTCTGGTACCACCTCCTTGTCCCTTTCCTACTTTTCCCACTTACTTTTTGAAGAAAGTCATTGGTGTATTTTAAAAATTTGTGACCTCAAATCTCTTTTGGAACAAGGAGACTTCTAAATCAGTCATGCAATCAACAACACAAGGAGGTGGGGAAGTAGTCAGATCTCATTCTCAGGCTTATCCTGGCAGATCTGGGCCCTTCCCAGGCCCTGTGCTGAGTGTTGGGGATACAGTAGTGAGCAGGAAAACAGGGAGGGGCCCAGCACTCTTCTGCTATGTACACGACATCAGGGTATTCTGACCATACCCTGACTTGTAAGTCAGGACTGGCGCTCAGATGTGAGGTAAGGGGAGGGTGGTCCAGGTGGGGGATGGCATATGCAGAGGCTAGTTGGGAAACCTGCCATGACCCCTGCCCTCCTGTTCCTCACAGGCTACTCTAGCCGGAGAGTACAGAGCCCCAGTAGCAAGAGCAACGACACGCTCAGCGGCGTTTCCTCCATCGAGCCCAGCAAGCACTCAGGCTCTTCCCACAGCTTGGCCTCGGTGAGGACCTGGGCTAGGGGCACCAGGCCAGGCAGGGGCAGCTGGGGTGCCTGTCATTGCAGCTGGGGTGCCTGAGTAGGCCCTAGTCTCTGCCCTCAGGAAGCTTGTCGACTGGTAGGGAGAGGAAGGAAGAAGTTTCATTCATTCATTCTTCCATCCATGCATCCATCCATCCATGCCCCCATCTATTCATCCATCCATTCAGGCTTTCAAAGATTTCTGTTGATCACTTGTGTGTGCCAGGCATTGGTGAGAGAAAGGTGGATAAGATGCAGAAGAGAAGTTTATGTTCTCCTGGGGAAGATATTTATCTATGAAAGTTCTTTTATTCATGCATTCATCAGACATTGAGCAAGCACCTGCTTTGTGCCAGGGACTCTGTTAGGCACTGGGGATATGGAGGTAAATAAGATAAAAAGGCGTTTATTTTCTCTTGGGGAATGGCTTTTGGTTTGTTCATTCATCCAGTTATTAATTCAGTCAGAAAGCCCAAAGCCCCAGCTCTGGGCCAGGCACTGCCCTAGGGACACAAAGGCGGGCGATAGAAGGTTCTTGTCCTGGAGGAGCCCACAGCCTGGGAGGGTGTGTGATGATGGCTGTGGCCCTTACGCCTGGCCCAGCCTGTAATGGCTGCTGTCTCAGTCCTTCTTGTCAGACGAGTAGAGGAGTCCCAGAGTAGGGAGTGGGTAGTGCTGATCAGCAGCTGGGCTCAGGGTGGGATTTATCAGAGGCTGCTGGTTTCCGGGCCAGCTGTTGGCTTTAGTGTTTCTTCCCACTTAGGCAGTTTCTGTGAGGCATCATCAGGCACTTGGAGTTTGTGGAACCAGCTGTGTTAGGGGCTTGGATGCTATGGCCAGGGGCTAGTTCAGGGATGGTATTTGGAGAGGGCATGGGGAGGGCTCAGAGGGATCCTGCAGTGGGCCTGGGAAGGCCTCACTCCATGCTCTCGGGTCCCTGCGCTGCTTGGCACCCAGATGGTGGCAGTGAACTCATCTAGCCCCATGGCAGCCTGCTTGGGACCATGGGATGCCAAAGGAATGGAAGAATCTGTGGCCGCCAACGATGGCAATGCTGAAAGCCTCTACATGCAAGGTAAGGCCCGGAGGCTGGCCTCTGGGCTTTCTTGGGGTGGAGGTGGGAGGAATGGCCTCCTCCCGGTGCCCAGGCCGGGCTCAGGACATTTTAGGTGCCATTTTGTCTCTACCCACATCATGGTTCCCATCCGTTTCTGAGCAGGGGACAGTCTCCAGGAACCAGTCTGGTCCGAATGAAGGCCTATAAACTGATAAACCCTGAAAAAGGGATCAGGACCTGGCCCACCCCCTTGCCGGGCTCTTGTCCTTCTCTGCCCTCTTGTCTCCTCACTGTTCTGAGCCCCCTCCTGAGTGGTGCTGTGCGGGGCCAGGCAGCTCTTTCTCTGCTGGGGGCCTGACTCTCCCTTCTCTCCTGCCTGTGCTCAGGCATGGAGCTATTCGAGGAGGCTCTGCAGAAGTGGGAGCAGGCTCTGAGCGTGGGGCAGAGAGGGGAGAGCAGCAGCACCCCCACACCGGGGGACAGCCTCCAGAATCCAGAGATGGCTTCAGAGGTGCTATCTGAGGTAGGCATTCTCCCCCTGTGTCCCCTCTTACCCTGGCATGGGAGGAACCACCAGACTGTTTTCTAAAGCAACAGCACCATTTTACATTCCCAGCCAGCAGTGTATGAGGGTTCTAATTTCTTTACATCTTTACCAACACTTGTAATTTTCTGTCTTTTTGAATATAGCCATTCTAGTGGGTATGAAGTGGTGTTTCATTGTGGTTTTGATTTGCATTTCCTTGATAACTAAAGATGTTGAACATCTTTCCATGTGCGTATCGGTCATTTGTATATCTTCTCTGGAGAAATGTCTATTTAGATCTTTTACCTATTTTTTAATTTTTCTTTTTATTATTCAGTCGTAAGAGTTCTGTATATATTCTGCTATCAGGTATATGATCTGCAAATATTTTCTCCCATCCTGTGAGTCGTCTTTTCACTTTCTTGATAGTGTCCTTTCAAACACAAAAGTTTTTAATTTTGTTGAATTGCAGTTTATCTATTTTTTTATTATGTCATTTATGCTTTTGGTGTCATATCTAAGAAACCATTGCCTAGCCCAAGGTCATGAAGATATACTCTTAAGTTTTTTTCCAGGAGTTTTATAGCATTAGCTCTTACATTTAGGTCTGTGAACCGTTTTGAGTTGATTTTTGTATGTGGTGTGAAGTAGGGGCTATAATTTTTTTTTTTAACCAATAAAACCAAGGTCTTGATATATCTAGTAGATATAGTTTTATTACCTGATTTCTTTCTACTAACATTCTTTTCTAAAGAGTTTGCTGTTCATTCTTCCAATTTTTTTAATAACTAGAATAACACATTTATCCTTAAAAAAATTGGGGCCTATTGCATGCAGTTCTGTTCCTTGTTTTTTTCATTTAACAATACATTTTGAACCAAGGACTCCATCAGCCTGAAACCAGAAGAACTAGATGGTGCCTGGCTACCACCAGTGACTGCCCTGATAGGGAACACAACAGAGAGTCCCTGACGGAGCAGGAGAGAAGTGGGGTGCAGAACTCAAATTCTAGTAAAAAGATCAGACTTAATGGTCTGACTGAGACTGGAGGGACCCTGGAAGACACGGCCCCCAGACTCTCTGTTAGCCCTGAACTGAAATCATTTCCGAAGCCAGCTCTTCAGACAGAGATTAGACTGGACTATAAGACTTAAAATGATACTTGTGAAGAGAGTGCGTCTTAGCTCAGGTAGATACATGAGACTAAGTGGGCAGCTCCTGTCCGGAGGTGAGATCAGAAGGCAAAAAGGGACAGGAGCTGGTTGAATGGACATGGGTGGAAAGGAGGAGTGCGCTGTCACAGTATAGGGAGAGCAGCTAGGGTCACAACAATGTGTCTATAAATTTTTGTATGAGAAACTAACTTGAACTGTAAACTTTCACTTAAAGCACAATTTAAAAAAACATCTTGCACAGCTTGTTAATGTGCAAAAGAGTATGCACAGCATAATCCCATGTTTATATAAAAAACATTAGATTTATTAAATAGATACTTGAACACAGTCTAAGAATAAAGTCTGAGAGACACCTCAATGTAACAAGTGTCAACCTCGGGTGGTGAGATGATGTGGATTTTTTTTTAATGTGGTTTAAATGTCATTATATTCTTACCGTTCTTATTTTTAATGTTCCACAGCTCCATTTTGTGAGCTTAGGATTTACATTTCTTTTAAACAGATCATCCTTTTTATTCATGAGGGGAGTACACCTATCCCAGCTTGTCAGCACTGTCCTTCCTTCAACGTGGGGACTGCAGTTGGGACTGCACAAGGCCTGTCACTCTCTCTGCCCGGTCCTGCATGGTGCCAGGGAGGAGCATGCTGATGGCAGAGTTCTGTGGTCAGGCTTCATCCTTGGAGCAGATCAGAGCTCCAGACCCCTGAGATAAAAACTATGATGGCATCCTTTGTAGCCACCAAAGCAATTCACGGGCACAGTGTGAAGAGTGTCAGCTTGTTTTCGGTGGTCTTTTAGGCTCCAGGGGTCAGACGGAAAGGTTGCCAGAGGCCATTCAGGGTGGAAGACAGCACAGCCCAAGGGGAGTGGGTATTATCATCATCATCACCCTTTGCAGATGGATAAACTGAGTCACAGAGAGTAGAAATGGTCAGTCCAAGATACCACAGCTGGTGAATGGCACGGCAAGACTCAAAGCCCACATGTAATCGTCTCCCCAAATGAAAGCCACAGACAAGAAAAAAGAAAAAAATCTCACAACCTAGAGATGGTACCTCTTATATTGGGGTGTGTCTCCCAGACTTTGCTGTTATGTTGTGTTAAAGAGTATATTTTATATACTTAGTGTTTTTACACAAACATGGGATCACAGTGCCCATAATCTTTTGTAGCTTACCTTCTTTCACTTTAGCTTTCCTTTCATATTTTACATGGACATAAACTTTCATCATGAGAAGCCTATAGCTTGACTTTGACTTCAGGGCAGTATTGATCTCTGCTAAAGCTGCAGGCTCCACCAGCCTCATGGGCGGGGCCTGGCACTGCCGCAGCTGCGGCCAGTGGGCCTGGGGTCTTACAGGCCTAGGGTTGAATCTCGACTCTGCCAGGCTGTAGCTGGGTGACCTGGACCAGGCACTTGGCTGAATGATGAGTACGATGATGAGATACCTGGTCCAAGGTGTGTGCTCAGTGAGTAGCAGCCATTTCCACTGTTACTGTACTCTCTGAGCTCTTCCAGCTCCTCCTTCCCAGTGGCCTCAGACCGGAGCTGGCCCTTGTCTCCTCCTCGGGGTCCAGTTACCTGCAGGTGCAGGATCTGGCAGCCTCCGTGGAAGATAGAATTGGGCCCGCCCGAGTCTCACCTCTCAGCCCGGAAGTTCCTGGGGTTGACTGAGAAGTGCCTCTTTCTTCCCACACCTCAGCCTTGGAGGCCCCAGGGCAGCAAGGAAGTCATTGAGGCTACAAGATGCTGCGTGCTCCTTGGAGGGAAGTTCCAGGTGAACTTCACAGTCCAAGCAACCCCCCACCTTCAGCAAAGGCCCACTCAGGCTTCTCTGCAAAGTACTTTCCTGCCATCCATGCCCTCCCCAAGCAGCTGTCCTTTCATTGCCCAGCCTTGGGAGCTGCTGGCTGTGGCCCCAGACCTGCATGGGACTGGAGTTCTCTTCACTTGGCATCCCAGCAACATAGTAACAACTGTTAACTGCTTGTTGCTGCTCCCTGTGCACCAAACACTGTGCTTCACGAGACGCATACTGTTGTCCCCAGTCTACAGAGGAGGCAACTGAGGCTCAGAAGTGAAATATTTTCCTGGCACATACAGTTAATATATGATAGTGGGATTTGAACCCAGCTCTTTCTGGGCTTCTAATCGTACTCCTATTATAGTAATAATAACAATAGTTAAATCACTTAATGATCATTGCCATGAGGCAGTCTTGTGTGAAGTACGTTACATACTCTATCTCTTAAATTTTCCCTGAAGCCCTATAAAGCAGTCATTCTTATCTCAGTTGACAGATAAGGAAACTGAGGCTCAGAATGGGGAAGTTAGTTGCCCAGGTCAAGATTTGAACCCATGTCTGTTTGTGAGCCACAGATCTAATTTAGATTTTTCTAGAAGCCACATTAAAAAACAAAAAGAAGCAGGCAAAATTGATTTTAATAATATATTTTGTATACGCTAATATGCCCTAAATATTATCACTTCAACATGTAATCAGTATTAAAAATTACTAATGAGTTGTTTTACATTCTTTTTTTTGTGCTGAGTCTTTGAAATCTGGTGACCAAGACCACATAATTTACACTTAATGGCACATGTCAGCTTGGACTGGCCTTATTTCAACTGCTTGATCACATCGTGTGGCAGGCGGCTCCTGTACTGACCAGTGCAGGTCTAGCACCTAGGCTGTTGGCTCCTGTGCCACAGAGCCTTCTCCTCCTTCCCCAGGGGCCTGGGGCTCGGGCCGTGTCAGTGGTGAGGGATGAGGCCATTCCCTTGGGGAGCTTGGAGGGTCTGGGTTGACGGCCATTGCTTTCCACAAAGCCGGAGTCACAACGAAGGGAGTTTGCAGAGAAGCTGGAGTCGCTGCTGCACCGTGCCTACCACCTGCAGGAGGAGTTTGGCTCCACCTTCCCATCGGACAGCATGCTGCTGGATCTTGGTGAGCTGGCCCAGGACCCACAGAGGGGCGGTGAGAGAACCAAGGGGGGACTGGAGTCAGTGGATCAGACAAGTCAGAATTCTCAGGGCCCTCAGACTTCATCTTCTCTAGTGCCTTATTGCACAGGTGGGGAAACTGAGGCCCAGCAGGGGACAGAGACATGCCATTATACGTGGCAGGTAGGAACGGAGCTAGGAGGAGGCCTGGGAGTCCCTGGCCAGCACTCCTTGTCCCATCCCACTGGGAGCAGGCCCTGGGGTTTGTTAGCACCCCCCAATGGTGTTTCTGGGCATTTGGGTTGAGCACTGACTGTCCTACTAACCTGCTGGCTTCTGGGCAGGCACTGGGCGGGCTGAGGGGTGCCTCACGTAGAGATTAACCCAAAGCAGGCCACAGGGCTAAGAACAGAGGTCCCATTGTTGGCCCCATTGAGGTAAAGGAGTATGACATCATCAAGTGTGAATGAAGTCATTCAGCCAAGCAACCAGTGTTCTCCTAGTGCCCACTGTGTACCACGCCCTGTGCTGTGACTGTAACACATGGCCCTGTCTGGAGGCTCTCCTGAGGGTCAGGCTCCCTGGCTTTACTGGTGGGGACACAGACCCAGAAAGGGGAGCGGGTTGGCCAAGGCTACGTGTGCCCCCGTGGTTTCTCCCCACGTGGCCTCAGTGTGGCTCTGCCTGTTGGGGAAATTGTCCTTCCTCTGGCCTCCTCATGTGGCAGAGAAAGGCTCCTTCTTGGGCTGGTGGGGCATTCACGGTGGCCCACTGTGGGTCTGTGGTCTTTGTTTATTTGACAAACATTTCCTAGCCACCTACAAAGGTCCAAACCCTTCAGCCTCTGAGCTGGAGGAGGCAGAGACGCCAAGTGAGTGGCCCACAGACTCCTTTGAGCCCTTTGGTATCAATGGCTAAGTTTTGCCTTGTCAGGAAGGGGGCATGAGTTGCCCAGGGCTATAGCACAGCAGTGTCTCCACCGGCTGCAGAACTCAGGGGCCACCAGGCCTCAGGGTCCATCAGTGTGAGCATGGGCCAGCCCCTCACCAGCCTATGTCTCAGTGTCCCCACCTGTGAAGTGGGGATGATCGTGTGTCCATCTCATGATGTTGTGAGGCTTGAAGGAGATAATTAATTTGAGGTGATAGCCCAGTGTCTTCACACAGAAGTACTCAATAAAGAGGCACTCTGTGAGCATCAGCATCAACCATCCCAGGCAGAACCTCCATAGATCCGGTGTTGGTAGGCTTTGCATACCTGGATTCTAGAAAGCTCTGTGAGGAAGTCTCAGCCAAGCCCTTCCCCTTCCAGAGAGGACCCTCATGCTGCCCCTGACTGAGGGCTCACTGCATCTCCAGGCCGATGATGAGGACAGCCTGACCTCAGAGGATTCCTTCTTCTCAGCCACCGAGGTGACCAGGGCAGAGGGAGGGCTGATTCCACCTCACGTCTCCCAGAGCCAGGGATGGGTTGAAGGCTGAGGTTCCTGTGGAGGCCAGCAGGGCGAGCAGTAGGTCGTGGGAAAGTGAGGCATTTCCTCTGATGGGAGTAGAATTTGGCAGTCACCAAGTGCTGCTCCCTGGGGACTCAGTGTACTTTCCAAAGAGGAGGTGGCCTGGGAAGCCAAGGATCTTAGGTCCTGTGGATGAGAGCAAAGGTCCCCAGCCCTCAACTGCTGCAGCCCACACTGACCTCACCCTTCTTCAGACATCCATGCCCACTGTTTGGCATTAGTGTCCTGTCAAGACCACGTGTCAGGCCTGGCGGTCCTTTGCCTGAGGACAGTAAATAGTCCTTTCGGGAAGGGGCCCTGGAAATGGGGATGCTGAGGCCAGGAGGGAGTGGCGACCTGCTCCAGGTTACTCAGTCACCCTCCTGCTTTGGGTTAGTGCTCCTTCTGACATACCCTCTGAGAGACTGGCAGTGCAGGGGGAAGCCCCTAGGTTGTCCTCTGCTGGCAGACTGATACAGCTTACGAGGCTCTGACAGCCCTCCTTCCTCATCCTCTGCATCCTCCGCCTCCCCAGCTCTTTGAGTCCCTGCAGACTGGAGATTACCCGATCCCACTCTCCAGGCCTGCGGCTGCCTACGAGGAGGCCCTGCAACTGGTGAAGGAGGGGAAAGTGCCCTGCCGGACCCTTAGGTGAGCTCAGTGGAAGGAGGGAGGGAGAAAGGGAGCAGGAGGCAGGTATGGTGAGCCCTGTCCTGTCCCCCTTGGAGAAGCTGGGGAAGCCAGCAGTGCTTGACAAGGACTCAGCTTGGCCAGGTTAGCTGAGGGTCCTGATGGGCTGGCAACAGTTCCAGCGCTCGGCCAAGGATGAATGGCCCTGAGCACCAAGACAGACAGGCTTGTTATTAACAATAGCAATACCAAATTGATATACTTAATGAAACTATAGTTAATACTTGTTTTTAACTTCTCAAAGTAGTGCAGCTTCAGAAACAACAGTGGGCACTTTCTAAACCCAGTGTCCCAACACTACCCCTTTTTAGCAGAGGTTAGGAACTCAGGCTTTGGGGATTGTATCCAGTTCTGCCACTTTATAGCAGGTGGCACTGGACAAGTTGCTTAACTTTTCTTAGTCTCGATTTTCTCATCTGTAGTTATTTTTATGTCTCTTATCCATCTTAATACTTCTGCATAGTATAAGGTAGAGTTCAATTCATTTTTTCCTATATGAATATCCAGTTATTCCAGCACTATTTGTTAAAAAAATTTTCCTTTCCTTGTCGTTGTGTATTGGTGTCTTTGTCGAAAGTCAGGTGACTATTTCTGAACTCTGTTCTCTTCCATTATTCTGTATATCTATTCTTGAACCAATACCACAGTGTTTTGATTACTGTAGCCTTATGGCAGGTCTTGAAATACGGTAGTGAAGTTGTTCACTTCAACTTAGCTTTTCTTCTTCAAGATTGTCTCGGCTTTTGCATTTCCATATAAATTTTAGAGGCAGCTTGTAACTTTATACACACACACACAAAAACCCTGCTGGGATTTTGATCAAGATTGTGTTGAATCTATAGATCAGTTTGGGACAATCTTAATATTGATTCTTCTAATCCACTGACATGGTATATTTCTCCATTTCAGTCGACTTTAATGTCTCTCATCAGTGTTTTGTAATTTTCAGAGTACAGGCCTTGTACATCTTTTGTTAAATTTATTCCTGGGTCTTTGGCTTTTTTTCTAATTTTTAATTTTATTGTGATAAAATATATATAACATAAAATTTGCCATTTTAACCATTTTAAATGTACAACTCAGTGGCACTAATTACATTCACAGTGTTATGCAGCCATCACCACTATCTATTTCTAACTTTGATTTTTTTTATGTTATTGTAAATACTATTTCTATTTTATTTTATTTTCCAGTTATTTGTTCATTAGAACATTTGTAAATGTGAATCTTTTGTTTTTTTTTACCCTGTCTGATCACAAAAGCTATAACATGCTCATTGGAAAAAATTCAAACATTATACACATATTTAGGAAACAAAACTTTCATGATCTCAGTCCCCACAAACTCAATCCACTGTTAATAATTGTCTGTTTTTTTCAGCTTTAAAATAGGAATTCTGTTTTTACAAAATTGAAATCATGCTGTGTATACCACATACTGTTTTATATCATTCCCTTTCCACTTAACACCCTGAATGTCTTTCTGTGCTTGTTCCAGTCTCACTGTTTCCCTTGGCCACTTGCTGAACTTTTGTGGGAGTGGAGCATCATTTATTTAGCTGGCCCCCACTGATTAGTGTTTTCATTTCTTGCCATTACAAACTATGCTGAAATGAACATTTTTTTTTATTGTGGTAAATATGAATGTAACAAGTTATTTGCCTTTTCAGCATTCTTCACGTACAATTCAGTAAATTAATTATGTTTGTCATGTTGTGCAATGAACACTTATTTTTTTTTATTTTTATTTTTTACTGTACTTCAGGTGAAGGCTTACAGAAAAAATACTTTCTCATGAAACAGTAGTACACATGTTGTTTTATGACATTGGTTAACAACCCCACAACATATCAACCCTTCTAACTTCTCAACCTTGTTTTTTGGTGAAAATACGCATAGCCAAAGATATACCATTTCAAAAATTTCTACATGCACAGTTCAGTGACATTGACTACGCTCTTCCAATTGTGCTGTTATTCTCAC